GCAGCATTTCAAGTTCCTCCTTGATTTCATAGTTCGTCTCGATTTTCTTTCGTTGGCAGGGCAATCCTGATGTAACCTTTAATACCTTTACTAACCCGATAATATTATAAACGGAGCCCACTTGCTTGTATTATAACTCTTATTTAAATATATTATAACTAACTTAATTTTGTTAAACTTAATTAAATTATTAAGTTTTAATATAAAACTCGGATAAAGTAAAATATTAAAAGTATTTTTATATTATAAATTACGTATTTTATTATTTTAATTAAAAAACGCGATAATAATTATATAATAATAATTATATTAAGTTATTATAATTTTATATTAAATTTATAAATAAATATAAAATATAATAATATAAAAATTAAAATAATAATATAATTCGAAATATAATTTATAATATAATTAAACGCGTTTTAAAAACGTATTAAAATTTTATAATAAAAAAGAAAAAAAAAACAAAACCGCGAAATTATTTTAATAAATAATTATTTTATTTTTATTATTAATTTAAATAATTTATTAAAACGTTATTATAATTATAATTTAATTATAATTATTTATTATTTACGAATTATAATTATTATTTATTATATAATAATAATTATTAAATAATATTTTTAAATTTTAAAGTTTTTAATAAATTTAATATAAACTTATAATTATATTATATATTTATATAAATATTATATAAAAGTAATAAAAATTATTATTATTTTATAATTATTATATAATTATAATAACATTTTTAAATAAACTTTATTCCGGTTATATAATTTAATAATAAATAAATATAATAATTAATTTTATAATTTTTTTTATTATAAAATTTTAATACGTTTTTAAAATATATTTAATTATATTATAAATTATTATTATAATTAATTACGTTTATATATTTAATTATATAATTATAATTAATTTTATATTATTATATTTTATATTTATTAATAAATTAAATATAAAATTATAATAACTTAATATAATTATAATTATATAATTTTAAATTTTTTAATTAAAACAATAAAACAAATTAAAACATAAAAATACTTTTAATATTTCACAGTTATTTAATCTTGCATTAAAATTTAATAATGTGGTCAGGCTTAACAGAATCGGGTTAATCGTGGTATATCCAGGTACAACTCGTGGCACGAGCAGGTGGGCTCTGTAAACGGACCATTTTAACGAGTCGGATGTCTCGAAATTCGAGCCGAACAGATTGTAATACCTATACTAAAGAGCAGCACACTTGTTACTCACGAAGATGTCATGTTTCTTCAAATAGATTATTCAACAAAACCCCGCCTGCGTTGGACACTTCGTAGGGCTACGCAGATACGAAGTGCATTGGGGAGTAGGAACCCCTAAGTCTACCCCGCAAGACTACAGATACGAATTACGGAGACAGGAATAAGGAAGACGAAGTACGAATAACGTTAATCAAGTGCCGGTATGTAGGGGAATGTAGGATGCGGGTTCCGCCCGGGACGGTACGGCACAGCGCAGTGTAGCCGAAAGTGGAAATACCTACACCATATCGGGATTGTTCTTGATCTGCCTTATATCTATCTTTAGCAACGTTCTTCAACGCCATGCATTAGCACCCTGGCCTTAGATAGGCAACAACATACGAAGTAAAGTAGGTAGTGGTTTCCGCGAGTCTTTTGTCGATATCGCATCTTGATTACAGTAGGTAGTCCCGAACAGAAGTCCAGTTCCGTAGAGTCGCACAGTACGGAAGCATACCTACCTACATACAGTTTGACGAGTTTTATCTAATTGAAGTTAGTGATACGCAAACGACACTTTGCGCCGAGACACAGAAGCATCTGCCCTCCCTAACTTGCTCACGCCCCATTAGTTGACGCGCAAGGACACTCATCAATCTTATATTACTCCGCCTCTTCTTGTTGCCTTAGGTTGATTTATAATGAGTACTCTGTAGGCAGCTTGGACAGGCATTCTTCCGCTGAGCTCTTTAAAGATGCAGCAAGGAGGCAGGAGTTGTGGTATCAAGATTACCTACAGTATCTTCATCCCGCTTACAAATACGGACGTGGAGCTCACCGCAATCCCGCGGAGTACAGGCATCACTATGCATTATTACCTACCCATTTTGCGGCGCAACTGAGAAGGCATTAACATGGTGGGGGCCGCCATTTCGTGGGGAACCCCCTTGACCGGAATTCGGGGTTGTTGGATAGGCTCATAAGCACGGTATAAAGTGATTAAGCATGTCAGATGCCAAGGTTCTACAGCGTCGAATCCTTGTCAGCGGCTACTTTCAGCCTTATTTCAATACTAGGCCATCAAACGTCGCAAGGAATTATCCCAACCTGGAGCAGGATACAGCCAATCAACTGTCACAGACACTCAAGAATGCAGCTCCCCTACTACTGATGATCTACTAAATTACCTACACAGAAACTAGGTAAGGCACCTACTCCAAGAGAATTAGCGAGATCTGTGCGCCGTAGTAATTATTACCGGTATGATATAATTAGCTGTCGCTAATATGAAGTATCCGCACAGGTATCATTGCGGTGTTACAGTAGGTAGCTCTGCCACTTAACAGGGAACTCCGCAGGTACCTCTACTATGTCCTCAGGGTTTGGGTATCACCAGATATAGGTACTACTGTTGCACATTCTGTAATGTACGTTGAGAGGTACTGTAGACTGCGCTTATGTGTAAGGACTGATCGTGAGCTCCGGTCGAAGGTTTGGCTACTGTAAGAAATGACGGCAACGCCCCGCCTATGCCGCCTCCGCCTTAGACAGTAGAAATGCAGTCAGAGAAAATTAAGTAGGCAAGCCCATCCATGCTAACATGCAAGTTTCCGTAGCAGGAGCAAAGTGGTACCGTACCGTGAGAATGTACGATGGACAGTGTGGGTATTCCGCCCCTCACAGTGATTGCCTAACCTAAATCTTTCTCTATTGCACTCAAAACGATCAATACCTCCGATTCCTACAGTACCACGGCTTACAAATAGAATGTCTACGAGTTCCTAGCTCGTTGATTGCAGTGGACATTTAAAGCTAAGATAGCGCCCGGCTCTGCTATTCCTCACACCGGTCCCCACCACTCTCGATTGCAACATACAGAACCCAGCTTGCAACACTCCCACCAAAGCCTTTAGTTAATTCTCACGAGAACTTTAAACTTTACGAATCCCAGAATCCTCAGGAAACTCTTCAAGATGGCTCCCTTCGGCAAGATTTACTCGGTTCTCAACAACCCTCGCCTCAGTCGTGTAAGACCACCACAGAAGCCCGTTCCTACCACGAGCTATCTCTTCCCCGCTCTCTATGATTTTACTTAGCTAAATCTTCGACACAGTCTTTGGTCATTGCGGATCTAAATGGCCTAGAGATTGAGGTCCCGCCATTCACTATGCGTGAGAGCAACAGGACTCCAGAATTTCTGGCCAAGTTCCCATATGGCAAGATCCCCGCGTTCGAAGGCGCTGATGGGTTCTGCCTATATGAGAGTCTCGCTATCGATACCTATCTCGCGAGGTCTGGCCCAAAGGCCAATCAATTACTTGGCAAAGGTATATATATATATACTTGCTATTGCGTAGTGAAAAATGGTGCTGACATTGATGCGGCAGATGCTAAAACGGAGGCTCTAATTACGAAGTGGGCGGTCTTCAGCGAGACCGAGCTGTACAGAAACGCGGGACTACCGATTGGTATGATGGTCGGTAAGTAGACGCCATTCTATTAAATGCGACTAGAATTTCTGGTTTGAATAATGCTTACCGATGGACTAATATATGATACATATAGCGAAATATTTGGCCCCTGATGAGAGACAGTTTGACGAATCTGTGGCCGCCTTGATCCGAGCTCTCAAAGTCATGGACACCGAACTAGCCGGCGGCAAGAAGTATCTTGTCGGCAACCAACTCACAATGGCCGATATCATAGTCAGTATTTTTCAAGTTATTTATTCCTACACTTGGCAAACAGAGTTTTCTGGAGCGCAATATACTTATGCGTACTCATGAACTTTAAAACCAAGTCGAGTACTTGCTATACATAGTGGTCGCTAACTTTTCTTGTACATCAGGCCTCCAGCGTCCTGTACTTTGGCTGCCAGTACTACTTTGACCCCGAGATGCAAAAGGAGATTCCGAACGTCATGACGTACACCAAATTCCAAATTGCGACCCCCGAGTTCAAGAAACGCTATGGTGAGGTTAAGTTCTGCGACGCTCGAGTCAAATTCGAAGCTAGGTAGATAGCATCGATTTGACCCAGGGAAGAGTGGCTAGAATACAGTGGCAGTGTTGAGAAAATATCGAGGGGTGTTGAGGAATTTGGGAGTTTCCATTTCTGTGTAGTAGCATTCACTTGATGCTAGGTGGTGACTGAAATCACGAAAAATGATGTATTAGTTTTGGGCTTATGCAATTTCGTCAACCGATAGCTCTTCTTGCTCTAAATAACATCGCTCTGTAATAGCTGTGAGACCCGCTGTGTAATATTCTGCTAAGCACTGGGGGATAAGATGTTGAATTTACGCTTACTCGTTGGCATGGCTGTTTGCTAGCTTGACGACATATTTTCCGAGCCCATTACGTATTGATATAGCATGCCTCTCATGAGTGAGCTTTAGAATCCATTACTATGAATATCAGTCTAGTATTTCAATAGTTATATTCCATTATTGACTCTTTTCGCTTTCATTGCATCGTCTTTCAGAGCTAAGATATTTGCTGCCTCATTACTGCCATGGGCTATAACAAGGTCGAAAGCTTCTGCACATGACACTCAGCGGGCTTATGGATCCCCTGTATCACCGACGTTCTAAGACGAAAGAAAAGAGAAACTTCGCGAAGTCTTACCAGTACGCCTTTCCCTAAAACAATGCAGACATTTTCCAACTGAGCTCTTGAGGCAACGAAAGGTTGCTGAAACAGCTTTATTCTGATACACCACGGACCCCCTGCAAGCACAGTGTAAATCAACATTCACGCTCCGGGCAGTGTGGCTGAGTGGTTATAGCGCTTGACTAGAAATCAAGTCCCTTCGGGGTCACAGGTTCGAGTCCTGTCACTGTCGTGCTTCGATTTTTGGCTTATTGTTTTGCATATCTCATGATGCTGTCGTGGTGTACGCAGTAAATATCGTGACCTGTGGGAGGCACAGCATCTTTCCGGCGACCTCCGCACAATCGGTCTGGTGGTCTAGTGGTATGATTCTCGCTTAGGGCTCACCCTACAGCAATGCTTGCGAGAGGTCCCGGGTTCAATCCCCGGCCAGACCCGGTCGTTTTCTTTATTGTCTCTATTTCATGGCTCGCATACTTTTTGCGGTGGCGCCCATTAGGTATATGTAGCCAGGGAAGAGGTTGTTGTGCCAAGACCCTAAGAATTTTTTGAGATCCGGAGACGGGGCATCGGAAAACCTGATGAATGGATTGTCAACTCTTGTGGCTGTCGCTAATTATTTTCTGACGTGCCCTGAAAGAGTATCAGAAGTTCTAATTATGGTATGCTTGTTATATTGCTGTGCCTAGTGCTCCGGTAAGGTTCGTGAATAATTACCTACTAGTACTAGTGCTACTAGGTAGTCTAACCGTGAGAATGGTCGACTCATGGCAGGCTAGAGGAAGCTTGCCGAAGCGGCTAGGCAAACCGCATATATGACCGGACACAATATTGCCTGTATCATATAAAGCTGGCTAGGTCGGCGGTGATTGTGTTGTCAGAGGCTATATAGATGCGGAAAGCAGCAGGCTTTATAGTTTGTAACCGCATTGCTGATGATGTGGAGACTCGTACTACTGAGATGGCGCTGACTTCGCGCCCTTCAATGACAGGAGCGCTCCGATGTGCGCCCGACCCTAAGAGACAGACCTATTTGAATGAATTTTATCGAATTCGTCAAGTGAGCCTCAAGAGCCAAGAACCGCTCATATGTCAGACTCTATATCAACACTTAGAAAACTGACCAACCTTACAATGGCTGAACCACAGACTCATTGGGTTATCGTCGCGTTAGAGACATTCTTCTGCCCCTTACCGAATTTCAGTCTTCCGGGACCCCATACATGCGAATTCCGTGAATATGAGCGGACGAGGCCAGATCAGATAGCGGAGCGGATCCGTGATGCCGACATAGTGATAATGACGATCCTGCCTATGACAGCAGAAGTTTTGAGTGCGGAGGCATCACCGCGTCTAAAGAGTATGAGCATTCAAGTTCCGCTACCACTCAATCGCCCCCTGTCTCTATTGTATTTGGGGTGTATAGCATATACTAACGTTGGACAGTGTTATCTGTTGTTGCTTCGGGTACAGACACAGTTGACTTGGCAACATGTCGCGCACGAGGAATAGTAGTGGGCAACACACCAAACTGTAACGTCACCACAGTTACAGAGCACGCGCTCGCGCTTTATTTCGCGACGCGCCGCTCTATCATTCCGATAAATGCTCTCACACGTGCTGGCGGTTGGGCCACTAAGGGAACACAGCACAGCATGATGAATGGACCCGATGGCAAGTCGCCTAAGACGTGCGGCGAGGAGCTCGTCGGCATTATCGGCTACGGTGCAATCGGAAAGAATATCGATGCCATGGTGAAGACTTTAGGCATGAAGACTCTCATCGCGGCGCGTAAAGGGGCGGAAGCACCAGATGGCCGGGTTCCGTTCAACACAGTCATCCGCGAGTGCTCGGTGCTGATAGTGTGTTTGCCTCGTTCACCGGAGACCATGAATCTCATCTCTGAGAGAGAATTCGATCAGATGAAGCCCTACGCGCTACTAATCAACGTGTCGCGAGGTGGGATCGTGGACGAACAGGCCCTGGTCTCGGCGCTAAGGAAAGGAAAGATCGCGGGCGCTGGTACAGATGTATACTCCAAAGAGCCGTCGGAACCTGCCAACAACGTTTTGCTTGCTGCGGATACCGCAGACCTCAACTTGGTGACAACGCCGCACGTGGCGTGGTACTCGGAAGAGACCTTTCTTAATTACGGCCGGGCCTGCAGGGCTAACGTCGCCGAATTTGTGACGGCGTCGAGGGCCAAGTACCGTGTCTGCTAGGTTCCCAAACACTGGGCTTCTGCGCTGGAGTATATAGATGGGATAGAGAAAAATAATTCAAACACAACGCACAATGTACCGGTATATCTTGCCGCGATCGGGAAATCCAGGGGCTCGGAAGCATGTGTCAGCTTGAGATCTATGCACAGATCCTTGAAATTGATATGTGACATGGACAAAAAAAAAGAGTGGAATAGAATCGAGAACGACTCCTTTCATCAGGCACTCGACTACTCGCATTCAGTGTCTGGTATTGCTTCAACTACTACAGAGCCCGTCATGCCTCTAGGGCGCCTTGGGCCTTCATTTCTTCACTGTGGCCTGTATTCAACCGGAAAACCTTTAGAGTTTGGGACTTTCTGATCACTTATCCCTGCCAATTAGGTCTGGCCCGAGGGTCCGGTAGGCTGGGATACGTACACCGTGGATCCTCAATCTCGATATCTGCAGCGGTCTACAGCTCCGATTGAGCAATCATGCGGCTTCCACTAGATGATAGAAAGATCTGTGAGATACAACCTTACTGCGCACATGTTTTTCATTCCGTTCAATGCATCAACTTACCTAAGTATTATAAAATGGGTCGGGACATCTGCTCCGGCAAAGATCGCTTGCAAGTACGGAGTACTTTGTATGCAACCAGATCAGGAGACGCTGTCGTCATTCCTCGATGGCTTGCAACCACGGTAACCAATCATATCGCGACATTAACGGCAGGGTGCCCAGAAACGGCAATTTGAACGACCATCGATATGGGGAGAAGCCCTGCTGCTCTCAGAGCATTGGTCCGGGGTAAGCTCCAAATTCGAACGCGAATTGGCTGTGCCCACTTCATCCTCATACCTGAAATGTGAAAATGTGCCTTCTGATGATGTAGTTGGGCCGGGGTCCAGTCCGCCCCCCGTCGCAGGCCACCAAAAGACGTTGTTGACAACGACTGACAACCGGGACAGACCAATCAGTCTCGCGTAGAACCCCTCTAATTATATGTTAGTATTAGTGAATCCCGGTTGTTCATAGCCGTTACTGTTATACCACCACAAAATGTGGCGACAGTCCATGGCCAGCAAGAACCTATACCCTTGTAAGCTGTTAGCGAGATGATCTTAAGGGCTGCTCCAACATCTGCTGTGACCTCATGCCATCCATCTCCTTTGCACTTGAGCATCATGCGCTACACCGTGACGTGCGAGGATTCAATTAAAGAAATGGTAACTATTCTGCTCACTCCTCACGATACCCAAACGTTATGACCGCCCGGCCAGCTCGACATCAGACTCCAGATCAGAACGAACGACCTCCAGCGCCCGAACGGCCAAGTTTCAATTCTCAAAAGACTTCCGACAGACTAGAGCAGGCATTCAAATTCGTGGGTTTCCCCATGAGCGGGAAGATACGGAAAGGCAGGAAGTCGGTGTTCCGGGAGGTTGGATTACTCGACGACGATGAGAAGGACGTCGATCGATCGGTCGCCGTGCCGAATTTTGAAGTAAAGCCTCTCAGCGAAGCCACGAGAGGAATATCCAAAACGGCACCGCCGACACAGAAGCGCAAATTGTCTGTTAGGTTAGATTCGGCGCGGAAGGAGTCTCAATGGTTCTCGAGGTTGATCCCAGGAAGCCGACCGAAGATCCGATCGGCTGCGAACGCGCCGCCCGCCGCAGTTGGGGGAATGCACAGAGTCACTTTGATTGCATTGCTTATTGCCGTTGTCCTGCCCACTATATGTTATAACAATGGCCGTCGTTATATCGAAACTAGCGGCGCAGATGCCAGCCCGATTCGGGAGCCTGTGCCTAGATCTGTACTCCAAGATCGCGCGAATAGCCCTACGGACGTGTGCAAGAGATGGGCCGGTCAAAGTAAGTTTTTGCCAAACGCGATAATTGATATGGAGGAGCGAAGGGGGTGCTAATGATGGCAGGCGCTATTTTGAATGGTACGCTTTATTATTATGGTGGCCAAGCCAATATAACTGCCGGTCAGACAGACAATACATGGAGTACGTCTCTCATAATTCTAACGATAGATCACTTCGCTAATAATAGGCAGACAACGACTTCATCACGATTGATCTCACTAAGTCATGGGATATTGCGTCCCCCTCAATAAGCGGAATGCCGCAACCCTCCGGTCCACCAGCCGTATCCCTGGGCTATCTCTGGAACGACTTCGATCGCCTATATCTGTACGGAGGCGAGTTCGACGTGCCGTCAACCTACCCAGTGCCTGTCTCGACCTGGCAGTTCGACATAGCATCAACCACGTGGACGGAACTCAAGAACCCGGAAACGTCTGCTGGCCAGTATGCCGACGCCGGGGGCGCACCCGTGCAGCGTGCTGCAGAGGGTGCGGGCGTGAGCGTCCCTGAATTGGGACTGAGTTGGTACTTTGGAGGTCATTTGGACTGGGGCACGACGCTAGGCTGGTCGAACCAGATTGCTCGGTTGTATTTGAAGAGTCTCCTCGAGTTCACACATCCTGGCTATTCGAATGTGCAAGTTGATTCGCTCCATAACTCCGGCGCGCCGCAAAGCGGTGCATACCGGAATATAACGGTTGCTGGCGAACAGAGCGGAAATGAATTCACGGAACGAGCGGACGGCGTCCTCGTATACGGTATGTCAATGTCTAATGCATTCTCATTTTACACCTGGGCCTCGTGCTAGAGTAATGCCTTGACGATGACTATCGCCGCCCACAGCATATATATGGTCACCTTGACTAACTCTGGATGCCACAGTTCCCGGTTGGGGTCCCAGCGGCGTCTTACTAGGTCTCGGCGGCGGCGTGGTCGGCGGCAACGACACGACCGACTCCTTCTCATCCATGACCACGATCGACGTATACGACATCGCCAGCAGCCTCTGGTACCACCAAGAGACGACGGGCGACGAGATCCCCCAAGTGCGCGTGAACCCATGCGCGGTCGTCTTCTCGGCGCCCGACGCCAGCTCTTTCAACATCTACATGTACGGCGGCCAGAACCTGCTCCCAGCAGGCCAACAGC